GAAGGATTGTCTTAGTTAGATTCGTGCTGGGTCATGAACCCGGGTCTGTCGTTGCTACTGCTAGTTGCTTGACCACTACCACTTTCTTGCTGCCAACCAGCAGCTTCAACAATCGACAGAGTAACAGCATGGAAACCAGCCACCACAACCAACACGCAATGTATCCAACTCATTCAGGGCGAACCGCGCCATGTCCCTTGTATGCGAAGTCGACGAGAGGCTGATGATGCATGCTTCTAACTTTATGAGGATGAGCCGTCCGAAGCACAATGTCAAGATCTCCTCAGCACCGACCTGCTTAAGCCTCAGGTGCCCAATCCGTCCACCCCGGCAAAGAGCGTGGCGCTCAGCATCGTCAACCGCAGCTGGTAGATGAGTATTCAGTTGCAGCTTCTTAGGCTGACGGAGGGGCTCTGCAGCATCTACACTACCCAAATCCTCTACCGACCCCGTGAAAAGCACGGCTCCCCAACTGCATTTGTACGATCCCTGATATCCTTTTCCGGACGATCCGCACCGAGAAGCATTGCAGCCTACGGAGCCGCTGCTCACAGCACTCTGGACAGGTCCACACGCCTGCGCTGCCCGGAGGATGATGGCTTGCGCTGGTGGTCCCGACATTTTGTCAAGCGGAGAGGGACTGTGGGGAAGTATGAGTAGATTGCCGGAGCGTATGATGTGACCTCCGTTGTAGAACTTTACCGTTGGGAGTCCCGCAGAGCCTTGATCAACGTGCACATCTCGGCAGCACCTTTGCAGCTCGAGTCTTTTTCCATCTGCCAAGCAGAAGTCGCACCTGAGCTCAGGGTTGCCCCAACCATGGCAGCGAAGATGGCCAAGTCAATCAGCCAGCTGTCGGTAGGCCAGGACATTTTGTCTCTCCTTGGTGTTGCTACGAGTCCTTATGGGGCCTCTAGGGGTGGACTCTGAGAAGGTTCTGTCAGGTGTTGAACGGCCGAACTTTACCGTTCTTTACAGATGGTGATGCAAGCCCCGGTCAGGACAAACGGTGACAGCGCTCGTGGGCAAGGACGGGCATGCGCAAAGAAATGTTGCTAGTAAACAGGAAGTTGAACTCTGCAGATTCGTTGTCGTTTCCAGCTCCTCCCGGCCACGTCAAAGTCGAAACTGCGGTAGAGGTCGATCTTCGAAAGCCTTGACGAAGCTCAGGAGGAGAAGAAGGGCACCATCCGCTTCCTTGGCACCACCAGCTTCTCCGGGGGCGAGTGGGTTGGGCTGGAGCTGGAGGAGCTCCCGGGTTGCTGACAGGAATCTGGAGGTGTTTGCGAAGCAGACATATTCCCGAAGAGTATCTCTGCATGCGTTGCACTGTATAGCGCAGACCTTGAGCATACGAAGAGGGACAGTGCAGGGTTCTGTCAAAGAGGAGACAGGGAAGAATGATAATCGGTGTTGAATGTGCGGTTAACGCATCGCCCAACGAAGTGATTTTACCTGTGACATGCGAAGGCTCATGGCTCATGCCCGATGGGATCTGGTTGACACGTCGGCTTGATTCTGTCCTGCTCTTTTCGCAGACGGTCTGGTGAAATGACAGTCCAACATCAGTCTCCGACTTTACAATCAAGCTGTTCCCTTCTGACATACTACTTGGCTTCGACGTGAGCCTCCTAGAACCAATGAGGAGACAACCGATGGTGAAATGACATAGAAGCGGGTTGCAGGGAAACCGCTTTGCTCGGCGATTACAGGACGACACCGGGAAGAACAATGGCGAAGTGAAAGGCCAGCGCTATTTCACCTGCCCGCCACTGGCCTCGCATCAATTGAGGTTCCTGATCTCGCGCTTCATCGCGCTTGTTAGGTAATAAGGCGACACGGCTTCAGATCCCAAAGTGGCGGCATCCATTCAGCTCGCTTGTCGCCAGCCTTCGGGGCGAGTGAAGGCTGGCATTGTTTCGGCTTTGGATAATACGTCTGCCCAACGAAGCTGCTAACTAGGAGTGCCAAGAATCTGGGAGGTTCTGCAGTGTTGAAGGCCCAAAAACCATCGCCATGGCTGTTATGCGACTCTTGCAGCTCCATGAGACCTCTTGCCGGCATGTATCTGAGGCCGCAGCGCGGCTTGTTCATGAGGCCATGGATGGTAAGGCTGCCAGAGCTGCTCGGGATGCAAACGAGTCTTCAGGAGACACGGGCATGATAAGCTGTCAAGAATACCACGCGTCCTACCATCACTACCATCTCTTTTCGGAGGCCTGATTACGTGAGGACACATCGCAGTTTAATTATTAGCTAGTTGCCTTCTCTGGCACATCTTTCTGGAAAAGGATATCTGGCTTCATACAGCTTCTTCATCCAATTTTGCGGTGAAGATGCACAGAGTAATTACTGTGCTGTACATGCTGGTTCGTGTGTCGATGGATGCTTGCTCGCCCTCCGTTTGTATACTTCTGGTTTGGGTCTGTGTTTGTCGCGCTAGTCGTCCATCGCGCAGCTTGCGGGGCCAATCGGCAAGATTAGCAATATTTCATCTTGGTTTGCTACAGAGCCCTCGTTCCGATGACTTGCGAGTGTATGCCAGGGCGCCCTTGACGATTTGTCCTTGTGCTAGGTCCGCTGCTCGATCTCCGGCAGCAGAGGTCTTGAAAGAAGCCCTCCTGCGATTGCAGCTGGTGGAGGCCATCGCTTTATTGCCCCATGGTTGTAGCCGAAGGTGGTTAGGGCCAGCGGCTAGGGCAAATATGAATCATAGAATCTCCTGCAGCTGCTTCGGGGTCCTTCGAACTCATGGAATAATTTTGCCACACTTTATATATGTCCAGACTGGCCAGATCAGTCTTCCTCCAATCTAATCAGATGCCGACGATCTACAGTAGAGACTGAGACTGCTCCCGGCCTCCAGATGTTGTATCCTGTCAGTTTCCGCCTCATGGGACCACGAAGTTGAAATCGCGTCATCGGACGACGAAGTTGAAATCGCGTCCGGACATCAGGCTTTAATTTTCAAGACCCAAAGCAGATCCACGCACTTGGCAAGCTCCTGAAGCCTGAACTGCAGCACGCCACGTCTGAAGTCTCTTGCAAAGCACTATCCCAAGGGATGATTCCCCCTTAAACCGCCTGGGACCTTAAAGTTGCATGTTGAGCCCCTGCTTTTTGAGGCGGTGGAGGACAATGACCTCGGGGCCATTGCCGATCTGCTTCCGTTGGCCGAAGCCCAGGGCGTCCGGCAGGACCCTATCGGGGCTCAGCGTCTCGGGGGGCAGGGTTTAGGCTTTGAGGGTTTGGGGTTTTAGGGTTTTAGGGGTCCGTCTCTGACCGCGTTGCGGCTCTGACGTTCGAGAGGTTTGTTGTCGGCTTGGGCGGGAAATGCTGCAGCCAAGGCCACCCGCAGTCCTAGATTTGCATCCTGCTGTAGCGCTATTGTGTGTCACTCGCTGCTAGCGTTTCAGCAGGCTTTCTTTGCTGTAATCCTGTGCCACCGCATACAGGACGAGATCGATTTGGCGAAAACGCGCCTGGCGTATTTGCAAGAGTGTCTTGCTTGCAAACAGATCGTGCACTGAATCTCCAGACACGGGCACATGAGCTTTTGGTATCCATCTCCCATCGTTTTTGAAAGCAGCCCTGAGGTCCGAGATCGTCGTGGAAGACGTGGATGACGAAGAGCCGTCGAAGCCCGAGCTCATCGACCTGCTCGGCGGCGAGGCAGAGGGGGCTCCCTTTCACTGCCTCGATCCATTCCGCGAAGCTACCGACTTCGAAGCCACATCATACGTGGTGGTGTTCCTTTATTTTACTGTGCAGATAAGAATCATGGGAAAAACGGGTCGCGGCCTTTGGATGGAGTGGTAGCAAGACACGGATTATACCGGTATCCAGATTGAACGTAAGCCCGAAGGGATGCCCCTATCCCGCCAGGCGGAGGTGAAGAAGTACCAGGCAGCGTCACGGAGTCTGCAGCAGAAAGTCGTACAGATGGTCAAGGAGGGCGAGGACCTGGGCAGTTAAAAAAACACTTCAACAAGCTTTGTTATCCGCTTCTGGACTGCTTCAGTATGGCCTGTCCAGTGTGGTGAGATCGTTCCATCGGGTGGCCACAAGGCTTCTGAATGTTCCCTAAGCCCTGTATATAAATCCTAGTAAACCCTATCACTTTTGCAGCCTGACATTTCCTTTGCGTCACGAGGACCCAGCCAGCCAGCCGGCCATCTACCAAGGCACGGCTTGCACCCGGTAGAGGAAGAGCTTTAGTCAGGGGCTGTGCTGGCGTGGATGCCTTCGGCGTTAGAAGTTGCTATCTGCGGGCGATGGTTTATGTTAGACAGATGTTTCTTCTGACGGTTCTTGATGCCCAGTTTCATTAGTACCCGACTTGTCGGAGGACGGAGGACAGATTTGCGAGTTTACAGAAGAGTTGCCTGCGAGGCATGGGCTTGGAGCACATGCTGCAGTCCTCCGTGCGCTTCAAAGCAGACTTCGATGATGTTTGCCATAAGTTTGCGAAGCAAATTCAGGAGCAGAGGGCAGGGGCATGCTTCATGCGAGCTTCTCTCCTGCTGCGCAGAAACGGGAGAGCAGGTCTCATGCAATTTCATACACAGAAAATAAAGAGATCCCTCCCACCCCTCAGCAAGAGTTGCAAAGCAGCACTCTATCAATTGGGGAAATCGATGAGGCACCTTGAGGCCCCGCCACCTTCGAACTATTGGGCTGGTAGTCCTCATGTTTGCCGCACAGGCAACACCCATCACTGTTATCGCACGCGAGGACAAGGGCTTTGACGTCTCTTTCATGGCCGCCTCGCTCAAGTCCTTGGCATCCGCGGCCAGCAAAGTCAACACCGAATACCACGGCGATTGCCGTCAGCTCAAAGATGTGGTGCGCGGCACACTGGTCATCAAATCTGGTCAGGACAGACCGTGCACGCTTTCCCAGTCTTGCTAGCTCCGAGCATGCTCCTGCGGGAGACTGTGTGTCGAATGGATAGCCGAAGTATTAGATGTGTCCGATAAACTGAGCCAGCGTTCTTTCAGGATGGCGCGTCGCCCAGCATTGCAGCTGGCTACGAGATCCTGCAGATGCTCGTCGAGGACAAGTGCCGTTTCCTGGAGGCCGCGAATGCGCGCTTCACCCGCTTCAGCGACCGCTATCAGAAGCCGGTCGGAGCGGCCAAGTGCCTAAGCTGCACGCCTGGAGGTGATTAACCCGCCCGAGTTTCGGTAGACCCTGCGTCGGACAGAACGCAGGTACCGCGACTGGCTGTTCCTTGTCAAGATTGGTGACTTCGTGTGCGAGCTCCAAGTCAACTTCGAGGCCGCGGTTCAGGCGGGAGGGCCACAGGAGTCCAAAATTTCAGCAACTTTGAGGTGGAGACTTGTGGTCCGGC